GCCAGTGGTTCATTTTAACAAGGCATTTAGGCTTAAGTGCTGCTTGACATGACTGGGAGAAATTGATATTTTGAGAATGAGCCTGTGAGGGGCCATGAATAATTCACGCTGGGGCGGTTCCATTCCCATAAACAGGCTGCTAAAAAAGCCAAGCCCAGCTCTTAACAGAGAAACAAATTCCCATCCTCCAAAGCCCCAGACCCCAGGTCAGCCCCTGCTGAATCTTTCATCTCCAGAAAGGGGTTTCTACATGGCAGTGGCAGGAGGGGAGATGGCCCCTGTGCCCTTTCTGGAGCATCCTGTGATGATAACTGCTCCTCACGCCAGGATGAGCAGCACAGCCCTGGGGAATCCCGCTGGAGTCGCTGGTGGCTGTGGCACTGAGGCCATGTGAGCCAGCAGTCAGCAGCATGCCACCAGCCCCATGGGCCTGGTTTAACCCCTTTATTTCATTAGGTCCCTTGTTAAAGGCTCCCTGTGGGGCTGAGGGCAGTGAGCCCCACTGCAATGAGCACAAGTGGTGAAGCCTGTCACACCAGGGGTGGCTCTGGGAACAGAGTACACACACCACGAACTGCCAGGGCAGGCAGCAGGGCACAACCTGGGGACACAGAGCAAGGAGCTGTGGAGGGAAACTGGGCTCAGACCCTCTGCAAGTATCCAGCTGTCCACCTGAGGGTGTCCCCATGGAGACATCCAGGACTTGGAGGGCACAGGCTCTTTCTCTGAGCACACATGAGGATGAGCACGCAGGAGGGCACAGCACTGCCAGGCCGGAGCACAGGACTGGCATAGGAATGATGGGCTTGAACTGGCCGTGGAAGAATTTGAGCTGGAAATCAGAAGCAGTGTCCTCACTGCCAGAGCAGCCAGCCCCAGAGTGACCCAAGATGGGCAGTCCAGGACATGAGCTCAAGCCTGGCTGGAAAAAGAGAGCCAAGGGAGGAAGAAAGGGAGGAAAAAAGGGAGGGAGGAATGGATAAATGAAAAGATGGGTGAAAGGATGGATGGATGGATGGATGGATGGATGGATGGATGGATGGATGGATGGATGGATGGATTTCATCAAGATTGAAGCATGGAGCCATTCCCAATTCCACATGCCCTTCATTTGGGGTGTGCCCATACCCTGCCAGCAAGGCTCTGGCATCCAGCTGCCAAGAACTTTGTCCTCTGCACCATGGCTGGGGGACCTCTGTGCAACCCAGGAGCATCCCCCAGCTGTCTCAGTGCTGCTTTTGGGAGGCTGGGACCCCCTTCCCCCCTCAGAGGGAACAGGACAGGACCACTTGCTGCTCCCATCCCTTGCATGGGTCCATTGGGAAGTGCCTCCACGATCCCTCTGCCAGCACAGATCTGGTAGCCCTGGTGTGCCAGAGGCACTGCATGGTGACAGCAGTGTCTGTTTGCTGCCACTGAGGATCCTCTCTTTCTGGTTGCTCATTACTGGACACCTTCCAAGTGACAGGGCTGGATGACACTAATCTGTCTGGTTTCACAGCAAGAGCCCATGTGGCTGTCCCACAGCATCTCCACCAGGGAACTGGAGGCTGCCCAGGTTTTCACAGGGATCCTGGAGCAGCCTAGGGAGGAGGGATCCAGGGAGGTGAACATGGGACCAGAGTCAAGCTATCATGACAGCGACTCAGGAGCATTGAGGGCTACCTGGAATGAGCTCAGGAAGAGTTTCCCCCCCACTTCAGACTGCAGGAAACGTAGACACCATACAGACCAGCTGTCCTCCATCCCTGGGCTACACATCAGCTGCACAGGATTCCTTAGCAGTGCTGCCGTTCTCACAGCTGCTGGTCCTGTCTCCTGTCCAGCTGAGGCCCTCGGTGACCAGGATGCATTCCCCTGCTCCAGGAATGCTCAGCGAGAGGTGAAGGGGACAGCGTGGGCATCTGTCCCCTCCACAGACACCCGTGCCTGTGGCTGCACCAGAGCTTTGCAGTCCCTCCACCATCCCATCCGGGCTGGCAGGAGCTTGGCAGGGGCTCAGCCGCCCTCGGGCGGGGGATATGTGGATGTGTGGTGAGGGGCAGAGAAAACCTCCCGCTGCCCAGCAATACCCCGCGGCCCGGGGACAAGGACGCCCAGAGGCACCGAGGGCCAGGCGGGGTTCGGCAGCGCGGGGAGAGCCTCCCGCGGGCCCGCACGGAGCCAGGCCGCGGTTAGCGGGGAGAATTAGCAGTAATAAGTCATGATCATCCGCTGATGACGAGCACTTAATGTGTGCCGGTTCTGCTATCAAAGTGCCTCTTAAACCCCAATCGCCCTGTCGATAGCGATGGCAGCGGCTGATGGATCCCCAGCCGCCCGGCCGCCCGGCCAGGTCGCTCCCGGCATGCTACAGGCAGGAGCATCGATTTCCCACAACTGCAAAGAGGCAAATATTTGAAAAGTGATAAATAAGGGGAGCTGCCGTCTCTGCTGAGCACGTCGGTGCCCGGGATTAAGGCAACGAGGTGAGACTGCCCAATTAAATCCCAATGAAAATGGCTGCAAATCCAATTTTTCCCTTTGCCCATACCCATCCCAAGGGCCGGGGGAGGGGGGGTGCGGGGAGCGTGGGGGGCGGGGGCTGATAACACGGGGTTCATCGATTGGCACTGCTGGGAAGAAATTTCTCTGAATTCAATTAGTTGGGAAAGCACAAGGGGCATCACAGGGAGCAGGGCTGTGACTGTGCCTTTGTCGTACCCCAGGGAACAGAACATCAAGCACCTGCTGCGAACCCCTAGAGGACCACTGGACACAGTGGTGACAGCACCCATGGGTGGCCCACACTTGGTTTAAAACCTTTGAGGGTCACCTCGGGTCTGACACCCCACCAGCATCAGCAGGACATGGTGGCAGCTCTGTGCGGGAATGATACATCGTGCTCTCTCCCTGGCCCTGCTGGCGACTGACAGGGAACAGCTTGTGTGAAGTAAACTGTGCCCCTGAGCAGTGCTCGGCTAGTGCTGACCTGCACGGAGCAGAGCTGGCTCCGGCAGGGACAAGGCTGTGGGTGCTCAGCACATCCAAACAGGGTGGGGAGCTGGGATGCCAGGGCCGGGGGGCTGCAGCTGATCCTCAGCCCCTTCTTCCAGCTCCAGTGCAGAGGGATGACCCTGCCGGGATGAACAGCCATTATGTCTCATCGCCTTGGAAACCAAGAGGCAGCTCTGAGGAGCCTCTCAATCTCCTCCTTCTCATTCTCTCCCTAGCTGAGCCCCATGGTAAGAGGCCAGAGGGATTTGGGGATGTGGGGCTGGGGACAAGCCCAGGCTGTGCCACTGGGTGCAGGCATGGGGGCTGCCTGTCCCTGCCAGCCACTGGGCACCCTGCTGCCTGCTGCCTTGCTTGGTTTCTCCTCCCTGTGTGTGAGCAGTCCTCCAGTAAGGCACATGGTGCTCAAACTAGCGTGAGTAATTGGGGAGTCTCACATCATCCCCAAATTGGAGGCACAGGGGGGAAAATGTGTATTCCAACCAGTCCCTGCCAGTGTGAAAAAGAGACTTGTGGTGGTGGGTGAAGAAAAGGCTCCCCAGCCTCAGAGCCATCAGCCTCTCTGGGCTGTGGAGATGGGCTTGCTGGGGCTGTGGGGAGCAGGCACTAGGGTCCTTGCAGGGATGGCAGTGTCCTTACAGCCCTATTCCTCTGCCACCTTGCCTGGGTGGCAGCCTGCACCAGCAGGGACAGGAGACCAAAGGCTGCAGTGGGGGCTGGGGGGACAGAATGAGAGCTCTTGGGAAGGAAGGTCTCCCCAGCCAGCACACCCCTCTGTGGCACAAGAAAGCCCCAGCACGGAGCACAGCCAGTGGCCAGCACCCTTCATCCGGAACGGGCAGGGACCGCTGCTGCTCTCCGCGAGTCCGGGGCCGTTGTGCTGGGATGGGGCGCTCGGCCGGACAGGGACGGCAGGACCGGGCTGGGAGATGCTGGGGCAGATGAGACCGCTCTGCCTCGGGAAAGGTGCTTTTGCCAGCTGCAAGCACAGCTGGGACCGGCTCCGAGCACAGCTGGGACCGGCTCGGGGCTGCCCCGTGCGGAGGCCGGGTCAGGCTGAGCGCTGGGGCGAGGGGCGGCCCTGCTCCGGCATTTCCCTGCGTGACTTGGAGTGCTGTGGGGAGCAGGAGCACAGCCTGCTGGCTGCCGGCTGCACGGCCCGGGCCCGACCGCTGCCTGCCTGCCTCCCGGCGGGAGGAGACCCACGCAGGGCATCCCTACAGTCCCAAACAGAGCATCCCGCGGCCCCATGCAGGAAATGGCCACAGCCCATTTGCTGCAGCCCTGCCAGAGCACCTGCGATGTGCTGACTGCCCCCACCCCCAGCCCCACCGTGCCCAAAGTGCCCCAGGACATGCCAGACCCCCAACTAAATGGTGAGTGAAGGGCTGGAGGGCTCAGCTGGCTCAGAGGACAGGACCCCTTGTGGCAAGGGTGACAGTGGCTCCATCCTTAGATTGCAGCAGAACTAGTGACACACAGCTGGAACTTACTAAAAGCAGTAGCATTGCATGTGGGCATGGGGCTGGCATTGCCTCAGCTGGCAGGGAACAGGGTCAGGACACGTCTCTGCCTCCTGTTGCCATTTGCCTCCAGCCCTGTAGCACCACGTTGCCTGGTAGCCTTCTTCCTCCTCTGCCTTCTTCCCCCTGCAGCCCAGTGACTGCCTGAACAGAAGTGGGAGTGGAGGGACAGTGTTGTTTGGGACAGGCTTACCTGGCAGAGGGGTTAGGGGTCATGATGCAGTGCAGAGCTGTGGAGCCTCTCCTGGAGTACTGGCGGGTGGGTAAAAGGAGCCTATGCCGGATCCATGACACAGACAGGTGGTGGCTGACATATGTCCCTGCTACCTGTACCCTCACACACACTTCTGCTGAGGCCACAGGAGCAGGTAGAGTCCCTCTAGCTGGGCTTCCCCCTCCTGCCTGAAACATCCTGGAGTGACTCTGCACCCCAAAGCTCCTGGGCCCTGGTCTGAGACTTGATATTCTGCCCACTCCCTTACATACATTGGCAATTAGAGTATAATTATAATATTTGCATATTCATAACAGCTGAAATTAATCGCATTTGCATAATGGTAATGAAAGGGACTTCATTAATTACCACTTTTTTCTGGGGATTTTGCATGTAAGTGGATTCCATTAGGCAGGTTGAGCTGTGGTGGGTGCAGCGGTGGGATGGGAGCCGAGTCACAGAACTGGGGTGGAGCTGCGAGGAATGATGGCATCACTGCCACCCTGCCTGCCCCAGTTCACTGTGCCCCACCGCCAGGCTCAGCTGTGCTGTGGGGATTCGGGCATTGATTTCCTACCTGTGCCCTTCTCCTGCTGACGCCACACTTGCCTCAGGGGCCCTGCTACAAACAAGGGATTGTGGGTGGGAACAGGGATGGGCACCATGGGCTGTGGAGACACAGAATCTCCTGGGGACACTGTCCTGGGGACATCTTGCTCCATGTGCTCAGGAGTGACTGCTGACCTGTAGGGTGACTTGCTGCCACCGGCCCCTACATCTGGGGTCCCTGTGTATGGAGAGAGATGGGCAGCTGCTCACAGTTGTCAGGAGACCCCTCTCTGGCCCCAGAGTGATGCCCAGGGAAACCTGGGCAGTGGGGACAGCCAGGGAGCTCTGGCAACCGCATGCAGTTGTCCCCTGGCTGCCTGTCCACGCCTGAGGAGTGAACACCTCCCTCTGCTTCCCAGCCCACCTGGGTGTGCACGGCCAGTTCAGCCCCGCGTGTGCAGGTGCCAACAGCAGCTGAAATCATCAACACGCACCAGGTTTGGGGGAAGTGGCAGGTTTCGGGTCGGCCCCGGCTGTGTGCTGCGTGTGGACAGCCCTGCCCTGCTCCGGGAGGACGGTCCAGCCCCAGGGCACCGCTGCTCAGCTCTGGATGGGAAGAAGCTTTCCCGGGAGACGGAGCTCGTTGACTCCATATTGATGACTCTTTCCCTCCTGCACATCTGGGGAAGAGACCTGCGGAATAAATCAGTGCAAGAGACAGATTATGGCAGCTAAAGACTCCAAATGAGATGATAATTGCTGTAGTAATGACAACGAAGACCTGATGCTGCCGATAAGGAAACATCTCTTCTGCTCTTGCCTGGTGCCCGGACAGGGGTTTGGCACAGGCGCACGGATGAGGCTGTCCCCAGGGCCAGGCAGCGCTGCCCTCCCTGTGCCCAGGGCAGGGGCTGGGTGCCCACGGCGAGGGCGGTGGGTGCTGGTGCCCACAGCGGCAAGGATGGGCGTGTTGGGGCCAGGCGAGGGGCCCGAGGTGGGCAGCCCTGGCGGGGCTGTTTGTCTGTTCTCCCGCCGGCTGCGTGTCAGCTCTAATTAGGCAAACTTCTGTATTCATTGCGAGCCCAGCCAGCGGAGAATTCCACAATTGAATTTTAATGCCCTAAAAACACATTACAATCAGCCTGATTAATTAAGAGATGGCTTAACATGGTGACTGGGCTGTAGCGGGCTGTGCTGGGCAGGAGGGCCGCAAGGACCGGCTCCTGTGTCCCACGGTGTCGGGGCCGGCATTGCTGGGGCTGGTCACTGAGCCTCGTGGGGCTGCGGGAAGGGTGAGAGCCAGGGGCTGGCTGTGCCCTGGAGATGCTGGGCTGTATTGGATCTCTGCACCTGCAGGCAGGGAAGGGCTGAACTTAGACCCCCGGGCACCTGGTCAGCCTCGGCTCAGCCAGGCACGCAGTGGGAGCATCCCCTTCCCTCCCTGGGCCCTGCTTTCCCCTATCAGCTTGGCCACTAGGGCCCTGCTGAGTGCCTGTTCCCTGTATCCCCACTATGACCCCTCTCTGGACGTGGGGACTGACACTGTGCCATGAGCAGGGCACTCCTGGGGGGAACCCGCTTGCTTTTGTTTGTGAGTGAACTGCTGGCAAGCTGGCAGGCTCCTATTAATAACTGATAGCTAATAACTAATACATACTATTAATAACTAATGATGAGCTGGGAGGTTCCGATTAATTTGTATCTGCAGTGATTCCCTGGGATGCCAGCGATGCTGGCTAAGGGCTGTCCCTTCCCTCAAGGCAGCTCTGTCCTGCTCCCAAGCCACTGCTGGATGTCACCATGCTGTACCCAGCCCAACCCAGGCTGTGTCCCCACATATGTCATTGCTTGGGGTGGCCTCACCAGCCCACCTGGACACTGTGGGGTGAGGCACCCCCAGGGGACCCCTTCCCCTGCATCCCATATGGATGCTGGGTAGTGGGAGCAATCCCTGCAAACCCTTTCTGGGTTGAATTCCACAGGGTGCCCTGGTCAGGGAGATGGTTTGGCCAAAGCCCATCCTCCTGCTATGTAATGAATGGAAAAGGGAGGAATCCATAATCATGATGTAAAGGAGAGGGTGCAACCAGCAGGGCATCAATCAAGTGGAAAGTGATAAAGGAAGCCTCTTGACAGGAGGGGCCAGCAGTGGAGGGAGGGATAGTGGCAGCATCATGAGGCCAAAAGAAATTTTGGCACGGCAATAAATCCTGGAGCGGCTGGAGCCGCTCGAGCACTAATGATGAGGCAAAAATACCAGCCACGTTTAACAAATATTTCTGCTCTGTATTTAGAGAGAAGCAGGACGACATGCTTGAATTGTACAAGAGTGATGAAACCGTCTATTAATTACTGCCAGGAATGTTAAACAACATCTGCCAACTCAGCGGGCCCAGGCACAGCCCGCCCTGGCCTCCTCCAAGAGCTGGAGGAGAATTCGGCTTCCTCATTAATTTCCTACGAAATCTTGGAATAGCAAGAAAATCCTGGCCAGCTGATGGAGAGCCCACCCATGCTGGGAGCTGCAGGGAGGCAGGGGTGCTCAGTCCTTAACTTGGCTCTGCTGGGATTTATATCACGTTTGCACCCAGTTCAATTCTTCTTGATGAAGAATAGCTGTAAGTTGGCAAAGGTTGGGCTTTTGTTTGCCATAACTTGGTATATAGATTTTCTGTATATTCATGTATTTTTGGAGGTTGCAAGAAAGTGAGGCTTGAGCTGGACAACATGCTCATTAAGACATCCTCCAGGAATCTTTGTCACAGCTTTGGGAGGGACTGCCATCTTTCCCTGCATGTCTCATGTGCTGTGCAGTGCCTGCAACCAGAAAAAGGGGGGGGACAGAAGGGCAGAGGGGATAGGGGAACAGGGGAATGGAGGAGATATAGAGGGGCTGAAGGGATGGAGGGGAAGGAGCAGAGGAGGGAGAAGAAATAGAATAAGAAGGCAAAGATGAAGAGGAAGAGGAGGAGGAGAGAGGGGGTCCAGGAGGGAGGACCCCATAGGACCAGAGCAAGTTCCAGCCGTGGCACAGTCCTGCTCACCATCATTAGCAGCAGAAGGTAGCTTCTTCATTTCAGGAGGTGGAAACTGAGCAAGAAAGGTGGCTGAAGGGCACAGCAGACTTCAACAGCAGAAAACAGGTGGCTCAGCAGCAGAAAGACACTAATTAACAAATTAACTCCGTACAGTATGCACTGACCAGGGTAAGCTGAGGAGGACTTGACAGAGTCAAGTCAGAATCCCAGAAGGAGTCCTCAGCAGGCACCAGGGCTGCCACCTCTCTTCAGTGCTAGGTCCTTGAGTCAAACCACCACTGGTGCCCACGGCTGTGAAAACAAGGAGGTCCAAGAAATTCAGGTGGGATTCTGGGTAAGGAGGGGAGCTGGGCAGATACACGCAGCCAGCCACGTCTCATCACTCTGCAAAGCCTGCCCCAACACCGGGGAGCTGTGAGGGAACCCAGCAGGGGTGATGGGGCTCAGGGCACAGCTGCCATGGGGTTACACTGGTCTCAGCACACAGGTGGGGAGGCAGGGCTGGGCTGGTGCTGATCCTGTGGAGAGGCTTTTTATCTCTTGGCCCCTTTGCATCCCGAGGGCACAGGTTTAAGGAAGACCATCTTTGGTGAAAAATCATGAGATTTAATACAAGCAAAACTCCCGCAGCTGCCTCCACAAGATGCTGGGTCACATGTAGATTATTTTTCTCAGACCTTTTCTACACATAAAGAGGCTAGAATTTACTCCCTATAAAAGCCAAAATCCAAATATGGCTGCAAAATATTGGGGTGCTTCAGAGGAGAGAAGAAAGCTTGTGGGCAAGAGATGCTTGGGATGCCCTCTTCCAGCCTGAGCCCTGGATTCCCTTGCACAGCCACAGGGTGCAGGGGGGAATGGGACAGGTCTGGGGGTGCCCAAGAGGGACAGGGTAAGAAGTGTCAGTGGGATGGCGCCATCCAGACACCCCAGCCCACAGCACCTCACCCCTCATGGCCCCCAGGGGCCAGCTGAGGCACCTGGGACCCTGGGACAGGCAGTTACAATACAGAAATGTCAATTTAAATTAAAACATTTTTCATAAAGGATAAAGATAAAACCTGCCCTGTAGCAAAATGAGATGAGAGATTTATGGGGTACTGGGAGGACTGGTGTCCCCACTTCAGTGGGCTCAGGGTGGGGGGCTGGCTTGGCTTCCACTGTTGGCACCGCAGGGCACCCCAGGGCACTGCCACCTCCCCATCCCAGCCATCACAGAGGCCAGAGCTGGGTCTGCAACGAAATGTCAGCTCGACAATAAAATGTGCAGAAGCTACATTTTCTTCAGGCTAATAAAACTCCTGGGCAACAGCAGAGATGCTTGGTACAGACCTGCTCTCCCTCTCCAGCACCCCCCTTGGCCCCCTCCTCATCTTCCTTGGGGATACGGGGCCCATTTGGCCCCATGTTCATTGTGCCAGCCCCTCACACAGAGGCTGCTGAGCACAGGCCCCAGCAGCAGTGTGACACACGGCTCCAGAGCTGTGTGTGCCACGGCAGGGAGTAAATCCTCAGCGTCCTGTCAAGGTAAAGTGACAAAACACCGGCCTGCAATGCAGGAACTGCAGTTATAACATGAGAAAATCAATGCAATATATTATCAGGGACATAAAGATGCTATTAATGCTTCAGCGCAGAGCCCTCAGCTTCACCTGAGGCTCTGTGCATTCCTATCTGGTTGCTCAGGTCACTCACATGCTGGGGCTCAGTTCTGTGTTTATTCACTGACACCCCCACCCAACAAAGCTTTCCTGCTCCTACACACTGACTCCTGGGCTTTGACCCTGCCAGGGGCCTGGGCTCCAGCTGGAGATGCAACCAGGGCTGCTGGGGCGATGCACGGCCTCAGTGAATGCCTTTCTGAGGTGCAAGGACCCAGCGAGGCTGCAGCCCCAGGCCAGGCAGGTACCAGCTCTCTTTCTAGGGATTCCAATGACTGTGCAGCTCTGCAATCCACCCACCTGCACTCAGGTGCCTCCTGGAAAAGACTGAAGAGGATGACAACCCCTGTGCACCACAGAGTGAGGCCACAGGACACATATAAGGTGCAGCACTCCCCTGGTATGGCAGCTGCCGGCAGGGAGCAGTCTGTGTCCTGGGGATATCTGTGCTGGATAAGGAGAGCTGGGCATATACATGCAGCCAGTCGCATCACATCACTCTGCAAAGCCTGCCCCAACACCGGGGAGCTGGGAGGGACACCCAGCAGGGGTGATGGGGCTCAGGGCACAGCTGCCATGGGGTTACACTGGAAAGGCGGGGCTCAGTTGGTGCTGGATCCTGTGGACAGGCCTTTCGTCTCCTGGCCTCTTTGCATCCCGAGGACACGGATGCCACTCCCTGCAATTGACAGTTTGGACTGTTACTGAGAAGTTGAGTCAAGCCTCTTCTAATTGATTAATCAATAGCTTTAATTGAGTTGAGACTCCTTAGTGGGTAGCTTCACCACTGTTATCCCCTTCGCCGGCACTACCCTGCACTGACCCCCACCAAACACCTGTTGCTGTGGCCTGGCCTCTGCCCAGGCCGTGCTCCCACAGCACAGTGAATTCCTGAATTCCTGGGGCTCGCAGTTACCTGGGGCTGCAGAGGGCTCCTGCAGCAGTGACAGAGGAGTCGGACCGTGCGGGGCTCCTCGGGAACGGGTAGGAGCCCCCGGGAACAAGCTGAAACACAAGGGGCTACAAAATGTCCACGGCTCATGGTACCCGTTCTGTCAGCCACGGCAGAGCCCCGGGCATGGGCGGGGCAGGACACGCACCCCGCCCGTGCAGCCTGCGAGAGCGCCGGGGGACACACGGAGCCGGGGAATGGGCACGGGGGGCGCGGGGCTCCTGCGGGCACCGCCGGGTGACACTGCTGCACGCCCGAGCCACAGTCTGCAGAAGCGGAGATGAACATTTTATGGTAAAATATGCAGAGCATGGGACAAAAGGAGAGAGCGTTTCTCGCATAATGAGACGCTGTCAGAGACAAGCTCCCCAGGAAACCAATTAAGAGGGCGCTTCGCGTGTGTCAGGCCAACACCTGGCAAACCCCCCTTTCCCACAGTGAATTCCAGCCGCGCGGAATTCCAGCAGCAGCTCCATGCGGCCCCAGCACGGCTCTGTCCCGCAGACCCTCAGCGCAGCCGGGAACCCCACGCGTGTCACAGGCGGCACGGAGCCGTCTCTGCCCGCGGGGGCGCAGCGTGGGGCCGCTCACCCACGGCCGCGGGCACGTCCCGGAGCCCTCAGCGCGCCGCACGCCCACAGGGCCGAGCCCAGCACCGCCGCCGCCGAGCGGCGCTCGCTGCGCTCCCGGGGCGGGCCGGGGCTGCCCGGGCGGGCCGCGGGGCCCGGAGTGGCCAAAGAGCACCGCCCAGGCCCGCCCCGACCCGCCCCGCCGCCATGGCGCTGCGCTTCTCCGCCAACCTCTCATGGCTCTTCCCGGAGCTGCCGGCACTGCCGGCGCGGCTGGAAGCGGCGGCGGCGGCCGGGTTCGGAGCGGTGGAGGCGGCTTGGCCGGCGGGCTGCCCGGCCCAGGAGCTGCGGGCCGCGGCGGAGCGGGCGCGGGTGCAGATCGCGCTCCTCAACGTCCCCCCCGGTACGGCCGCGTCCCGCTGCTCCCCCCGTGCGCGGGGTAGCGAGGACCCTCCGCCGACCCTGCCGCTCTCTCCCAGGGGACCCGGAGGCGGGCGAGCTGGGGCTGGCGGCCGTGCCGGGGCGGCAGGCAGCCTTCCGGCAGGGCCTGGAGGCGGCCGTGCGCTACGCCAGGGCTGTGGGCTGCCCCAGGTAGGTGCGAGGCGGGACCCCCGCTCCGGCCGCGTCCCCGGCCCCGGCTGCGATCCAGCTCCAGCGCTCCTGCCCTTTGCCCCGCGGTACCTGCTGCCGCCGGGTCACCGAGCCTCTCCCGGGCAGCATCTCCTGCTCGGCTGCGTGGGGAAGGAGCCAGCTCGGGCAGACCCCGCTATGCGGGGCCGCGGCCTCAGCGTGCTCCCCGGGAGCGGGCCCGGAGCTGCCAGGCACGAGCCTGACCCTGCCCTTCGCAGTAGAGGCTCTTGTTCCCACCTCCACACAACAGTCCTCAGGATAATCCTCCCTTTTTCCTCCTCAACTGCACCAATCGTTTCCACCAGGACACCACAACAGTTGCTTTATTGAGGCCACGCTGACTCCAGCACAGCAGAGACACCATAAAAGATGCAATTAGCCTGGCACAGCTCCCTTCAGCAAACCAACAGGGCCCTTTTATTCCACTTACTTTGCACCATTCTTTTCTGTTGCAACTCAGTCCAAAGCCCTGTGGAGGGCATGGGCTAGGCAGCCCAGAGGCTGCCCAGCACCATTTGCACACTGGTACAGGCACACTGAAAAGGTTTTTGTTTCTACTGTGTTCCTTCCCCCAGTAGTGGCTGAAGATGGCCTGGCGCCTGAGCTCTTCATGGCAGGGCAGTCCAGCATGCAGCAATGTCCCCTCCCTGCTCACAGCCAGCAAGCAGTGACACCACGCATAGGGCAGGCCCCTGGCAGAAATAGCATGCCAGTTGCCCAACATGCTGGTTTGAGGCTCCCCAAGGAGCAAGAGCCCAAAAAGCTTCAGAGTCAGGGTAAAAGAGCTGAAGGCAGTTAACAAAAGAGAGAAGAAGCAAGGTCTGTGATTTGTCAGGCAAAAGGTTCAAAGTCATCCCTCTGTGTATTCAGGTGGAATGGAGCATATTTGTGTCCTGGCTGGCAGCTGGCTGCTGTTGTGCCTCCTGGAGGAGAGATGGCTCTTGTTACCCCTTTCTGTGTCTGCTCCCCCAGCCTGGCCCCCTTTTCCATCAGCAAAGGAAGGTGTATTAGATCAGGCCAGCTGCTCGCCGTTGCTGCCTGTGATTATCTTTCTGTGCCTGTAGGATTCATGTGATGGCTGGGCGGGTTCCCTTGGGCACAGACCGGGCTGCAGTGGCAGGTGAGATGGAAACCACCTTCATTGAGAATCTCAGATACACTGCTGACCTCCTGTCCCAGGTAAGTGGGGAATGGGTCCTGCTTTGTGTGTGCAGTTCTTAGGATACCCAAGATGGGGAATAGCCCACCAGCCTGGCCTGGGGAAGTTATGCTTCCTGCCGCAGAGATGACAGGATGCTCTGCAGGCTGACATTACTGTTTACAGGAAGACATGATTGGACTGTTGGAGCCTATTAACAACCGTATCACTGACCCTCGCTACTATCTGAACACCCCACACCAAGGTAAACCAGACAACAAAAGTCTCCTTCAGAGGAGGAGAAGGATCTCCACAGTTGATAAAGGGGGTCCTGGGGCTCCTCTGCAAAGCTTCCACCCTGGGGGCCATGGTTTCTCATTTTTTGCCCCCTTAGCTGCTGCCATTCTGGAGAAAGTGGGACGGCCCAACCTGAAGCTGCAGCTGGTGAGTCAGCATTGAAGCTCTCCATGAGAGAAGCTTGGACAGGTCCAAAAAGGAATTCTGGTGGCCATGGGCCAGTGTCCCCCTCTGGGGACACTGAACAGGGACCAAAAGCACAGCTGTCCTTAACTGCTCACAGTTGACCAGCTGCACCCTCCCTTTTCCTCTCTCGCCCCCAGGACCTTTTTCACTGCCAGATCATGGATGGCAATTTGTCACGCAACCTGGAGACATACTTCCCACTCATCGGTAACACCCTGTGCCCGGACCACTGGGGAGTGGCTCTGAGAGGGGGCCCTCCTACTCCAGGCTCTGCTGTAGCTGGCTGGGGGTGTGGGGATGCTCTGGGTCACCTTGTCTCATGGCCAAAGAAGGCTGCAAGCCGGGCTGCCTTAGGCATGGCCTCTCCCCCTCCCCCCCTAGGTCATATCCAGATTGCACAGGTCCCAGGGCGGCACGAGCCCGATAGCCCTGGGGAGTTGAACTTCCCCTACATCTTCGAGCTCCTGGAGTCCCTCGGCTACACTGGCTACGTGGGGTGCGAGTATGCTCCGAAGGGTGAGTAGGCCTGCAGGTCTGAGCCCCACAGGCAGGTCCAAGCACAGAGTTGGCTGCGTACTGTGCAAAGACAGGCCGGTCCTGGGAGGCACAGGGTGTCATCCCTACCTGGGGATGAGGGCTCTGTCCTGAACAGAAGCTGCTCCAGCTGCAGCAGGAGACCTTGTCTGTCACTGCAGGAGACACCCTGGAAGGTCTGGGCTGGCTGCGATCCTACTGGGAAAGCCGAGGGCTGCAGCATGGTGGGACCAGCAAGGCAGCCAAGTAAAACTAGAAAACCACGAGAATAAAAGACAAAACAATGGCTTAACAGAGGAGCATGTGTCTTCTCTAGGACTAGGGGAATGTGGTGGGTGGGATGATTACCTAGAATGAGATTAGGAGCATCTATGTCATTTCCCTTCCCCAGGCTCTACTGGGCCAGCCTAAGCTATTGGACCCTCATCTACAGAGTAGCATGTTCAATTTAGTGATGGCTCAGGCACCACTGTACCACTTCAGGTACAGAGAAAACTTTTGCTTCCAGGCTGCAGGGGTGTCCAGGGAGAGGTTTCCAGTCTCCCCAATAAGGGGAGCATTCCAGCTGGTGCCTGAAGTTGTGGAAAGAACACTTTGGACTTCCAGGTACTGCAGTTCTCAAGGCTGTTGCCAGTGTCCAGCACTGGCAGCAGGGCTGTGACTCTGCAGCAGGGCTGCAGGTGAAGCAAGCAGTCCCCTCCCAGGCTGTCTGATCCAAGGTAACAAGCTGCCTGCGCATGGATACTCAAGGCTGACTGTCCTGCTGCTCCTGCTCTGGAGCAAGTGTAAGATTCCAAAGCAAACCCAGCCAGCCCAGTAGCCAGGGCTGCTCTGCATCCTCCACAGGCAGTTTTCCACAGCCTACAGCGACAGAGCAGGGATCTGGTTCAGTTTATTTCACAGACAGACCAATGGCTCAAATGTACATCTCCATAAAACCTTCCTGTGATCCAGTTTACCCTTCCTGTCCCATTCATGCTCTCCCAAGGAAAGCAAAAGGCCAGAAGCAGTTGTCCTCACTGCCAGTCAGGGAGTCCTGCACTCAGCAGTCTTTCCTCCTAAAGCCAGAGCACTGTGCAGTGCTGCCCTGGGCAGAAGATGGTGCCGTGCACGCTCCTTAGTGCCTTCCAGCAGGCAGAACTCACCTATGGATGCCGAAGCCACGTCCCTGAGAGTTGTTCTGCTGCAGCCAAGTTCCTGCCCTTGCTGTTTGGTTCAAGGCCATTCAGTATCAACGCACTGAAAACAGCACACCAGGGCCATACCACCCAGGCAGCGATGAGCTGCACATCCCCAAGCTCCTCAGGCCAGTAGCCATGTGTGCCACTGGCAGCACTGCCTGCAGCGCCCACACACAGGTCCCCCCAGAGACCCGTTCTGCCCACGGTCACCAATGGCACAGCTATGTCGAGGTCGGAATAGGCGTTGCTCCAGGGCGTGCTGCCGCTGCTAGAGCAGGCCCGTCCACAGGTTGAAGCAGGCGGTGTTGATAACTGACTCCAGGTGATGGTACGTGGACACGAGCTGTGGCAGAGGACTCTCGCTGTTCTGGGGCTGCACTGGGAACGGCTCCCGGAAAACCACAGTGAGGCTCTGCCAAGAGGGAGGAGAGGGTCAGGGGACAGGCTGCAGACAAGCACCGTGCAGTCCCTAGCCCAGGTGTGTGGACACTTTTTTGGCAGTGTTAGGCAAATACTGGGAGAAGTCCCAAAACGCCAAAGGCACTAAAAGCTAGTGCCTCTTCCCGTGACAAAGCATGTTTGAGCTTCCTCCCAATTTTTCTGCTGGAAATTCAGTGCAAGGACTTGCCCACTCTGTCCCAGCTCTCATGCATCTGCAGTTACACCAATCCTGGCAGCAGCCACAGGAGAGGAGGGGATCCTACTGCCTCCACAATAACAGGAGCTCCCAGGGAAATTAGAGGGAAATTTCTTTTTCTAAGGGAAAGAGTAGGAGTGCAACAAATGGGGAAGGGGAGGAGATTAAATGTAATAACTGCAATCCTAAAAATAAATGCTGCCTGCTCCACTCTGACTAGTGACTGTACTGAAAAGAGAGGAATAGGGAGCAGGCAGAGGTTGCAGGAGCTGAAGCAGAACAAAAATGTGACTCAGTGCACTCAGGTCAGTGTCATGGAGGCAAGACACAGGGACAGGATGTTCTCCAGAGTTGAAATGCAGCACATCCAGTAGCCAGGGTCCTTTACAAACTGGTAAAGCCATGAAAAGAGCTGTGTAACTACAAAACAGCAAATGTACCACCATCATTTAGAAGGAGAAAGGAAGTTATTTATGAGCCCAGCTCCAGCAGCATGCAAGGCTTGGAGCAGACTGGGGGAGACAGAACAATGAGGGAAATGCAGCTCAGT